AAATTCTTGTAGTTCTTTTGTAGTTCTTTTTATAAATTGATTGGAAAGTAGTTAGTAGTAGTAATTGTAATTATATTTAGTATAACTATTACAGAGTGATTTGAATGTTAAGTAAATTGAATAAAAAAAGGTTTTCAATTAATAGGTTTCGGAGACTTGTGTGGGGGAGATAAAGTACATTCCAAACCAGATTGGAGGTTGCGACACGCCGTGGCCGCGAAAGATCGACTCTCGTACACTCCTCGGGAAGTAACCAGTACACGTGCAAGCACACACAACCTCCCTCCCCGAGACATGTCCTTCACCGTCTAAAAGAGGACAGCACATAAAAGTTTAAGATCGCTAGACCTCGGCCAAAGGGGAGTTTGAATGTATGGGATGAAATTCTCCAGTACATATAAAATTCAATATAAATAAAACTAAAAAATACAAGGGTGTTAGGTTCTGTACAATAATTTTCTAAATGTGGTATTGTCTACTGATTACTCTAGATAACATCCAACAATCACAATATGTAGTTTATCACTTAAGATGACGTCGTCTTAAAACGTCATCTTACAACGCGCAGACGTGTCACAATATACAAGTGGGAGTCACAGTCATTTATAACCACGTCAATCATAACCTGATGTCTATCTAGGTTGGGGACATGTCCATCTCAATAAATTTCCCGTAATTTACTCAGCCAACTCAAAGACCTACACACAAATGTCGTAACACGAACCCAACCGCACCGGACACGGACCACCACCCCGGCACACTATAGAAAAGTACCCCGGGTTTTTAGGGACCGCCGCGGGGACACCGGACATGTTTAGTACTGTCAAAAACCCCTTATTCTAATTCCAAATACTAGTGGGGTCCTCACCCAAGTAATGTGGGTCGTCACGAGAAACTCGTACAAGGGTACTACTTGTTTGTTATACAATGCGTGTTATCTCTGAACTTGACCGTTGGCAAGCTAAGGGTTCGTTTAGGGAGTCGGTAACAGCAAAAATGATTTCACCAATGACATCTAGACTACCAATTCACGTTGTCCTGCAAACTTTTCGTCTACGTACAAGTCTAAACGCAATTACCGTTTTGTCTAATTGCGTATTGTATGTACGGGTTGGCGATAGTTAGTTAATTTTACAGTGAGATAGAATTAACGTAGGTGTGTTCGTTACCCTTCGTTTATACCTTCGAGTTGTCTACGTGAAACCGAGGTGGGTTTTTAGCAAAATGTTTGGCCCCTGTCAGTCACGGGCCCTTAGAATCGTCCTAACTTTTCACCCCCTTACGGCGCCCCTGACAGGCCACAATCTGAAGTTATAACATTTAGAAATTTAGAAATGTTCCTCCTCAAAATACATAATAAATATGACACTGGAAAGTTCTGAAGCATAGGTTTGATTATCGTCAACAAATCAATCCCATGAAAATACACCAAAAATATGTTCGGCTGAAAACTCAACTGAAAACCCAATGGGACGTGTTTCCATGCAGCGCTTGCTTGGTATTCTTACACTTGTTGTTACTACTTTACTAAAGCAACAGCTCTGAGTTCTTCCACCTTGTCACCGGCTTTAAATCATGTATGGACACCCACTTCTGAACTGTATGTCTCACCTGAAAACAATCTCCAGATCTATTGCTAGCGAGGGCCTATATATACTATTTTTTGACTTAATTATAAGGCGACAGTGGGGGACTTTGGGATATATTTTGACCTCTTTCTCTCCTCATCCATCCTTTGATTTAAAAAAAGAGACAGCGACAGGAAGAGGTGAGGAGAAAGGAGCTGCTATGGGAGGAGAGAAGAAGAGCTCCTCTGGGAGGCCTGGCAGAGAGTGGGTAGGGAAAAAATAGTTTTAAGTGTCATGGATATGGGACGGTCACATTTTATCTGTCACTCAATACATTCTGTCTTCCCTGCCCTGTTTATGGGTTAGGAGCACTGTCTTGTATTCTCATAGACATTTTGAAGGGGAACTTATTTTCTCCGGGAAACAGTTACAGTATTAAACTAATGGTTAAGCTTTGGGAATTGAAACAAAATAACTTAGTTAAAGGTCACCTATCATGCTATGTTTAGGCAATAGCATAGGTCTCAGATATATAAAAATATATAAAAAACATGTCTATGAAGTGTTTTGCTCAAAATACCAAATAGATCACCCATTCTAGCCATGCCTCATATCCCTCTATTTCACTTCCTGTTTCAAAAGTGCTGATTTGGGGTATAAAGCTTTAAATTTTTTTAAAAATGATAAATAAAAAAGGAAGGGGCTGAGCTCATGCGGGACCCAGCAGCTACTGTCTAAACTAAATACGGTGGTGATGAAATGCCATATCATGGATTATCAAGGATTATTTCTGAAACAGTATGGAGCTCAAAGGCTTTCTCTCTTGCTGATAGGCCCGTGGGCGTAAAGCTAGCCTACATTTCCGATATTACGTCATATCGGACGCAAATCTGGATCAGTTCCGTTGTAGCCCGGTTTTTAGAGATTTGGGTACGGAGGAAAAAAGAGAGGGTTTTATTTGCTGAGGCTGCGTGCGTTCCCCAACACACCGGGGACACATGTTTATGTGTAAAAGAAATCAAAAAGTACATTTTGCATGATAGGTCCCCTTTAAGTTTAGAAAAAGATTAGGGTTAGCATAAACAATATATAAGATTTACATGAGATAACTATGTAACACGTATAAGATGTAAGAGCTAGGAGGTGAATTCATTGTTGGTTTTGACATTTTTAAGGGATTTGTTGACAATAGGGCTGTCCCGAATACCATTTTTCGGGCTCCGGATATTCGGAAGTAATCAGCAGCGAATATTCGGATATTCGGCCCGCGCGGGGGGTTGCGTAGTAATCAGCAGTGAACCGCTTCAACACGTGTATTTCGGTTTATTCACGGCATTCATTTTGTTATTCTACAGTATTGTTGTTTTATAGTTATTTGTTAATGTATACAACCCAATGTGTGTTCTTTGAAATTGAAAAGGATATCGCATGGTGTTTGTTACTTTCGTTGCAGTTGTATATGTCGTAAGTGTAATTTGGCTTGGCTTGCTATTTTGTATGGACATGCTTTTATTTTGAAGGAGAGTTAGCGCTGTTGACAGGAAGTTGTTGTTGCTATGGAAACAATGTGACGGAGATTAACGGAGAAAAAGTAATATCTACATATAAAGACGGAGAAAGTAAACGATAAAGTTTA